TTTTTTTTTTTTTTTTTTTTTTGAGACAAAGTCTTACTCTGTCACCCAGGCTGGAGTGCAGTGGTGTGATCTCGACTCACTGCAACCTCTGCCCTCCGGTTTCACGTGATTCTCCTGCCTCAACCTCCTGAGTAGCTGGGATTATAGGTGCCTGCCACCGCACCCGGCTAATTTTTATATTTTTAGTAGAGACGGGGTTTTGCCTTGTTGACCAGGCTGGTCTTGAACTCCTGACCTTGTGATCCACCCGCCTCTGCCTCCCAAAGTGCTGAGATTACAGGTGTGAGCCACCGTGCCTGGCCATGCCTGGCTAATTTTTATATTTTTAGTAGAGACAGATTTTTGCCATGTTGGCCAGGCTGGTCTGGAACTTCTGGCCTCAAGTGATCTGCCCGCCTAAACCTCCCAAAATGCTGGCATTACAGGCACGTGTCACCATGCCTGATCTTTTTTTCTTTATTTTTAGTACAGAGTCTCACTCTGCCATCCAGGCTGAAGTATAGGGGTATAATTACAGCTCACTGCAGCCTCCACCTCCTGAGGTCAAGCAATCCTCCCACCTCAGCCTCCCAAGTAGCTGGGACCATAGGTGCTCAGTGCCACACCTGGCTAATTTTTGTATTTTTTGTAGAGATGGGGTTTCACCATGTTGCACAGGCTGTTCTCGAACTCCTAGGCTCAAGCGATCCTCCTGCCTTGGCCTCCCAAAGTGCTGCAGTTATAGGGCTGAGCTGCCACACGTGGCTGAGAAACAATTTTTCCACTGTCTCAACTCTGCTTTAGGATACTGTTAGTGGAAAGGAAGGATACTTTGTTTAAGAGTTTGATCTGGGCAACATGGCTCTCTACAAGATACAAAAAAATTAGCCAGGCATGGTGGTATGCACCTGTAGTCCCAGCTGCTTGGGAGACTAAGTTGGGAGGATTGCTTGAGCCTGGGGAGTGAGCCATGATTGCACCATTGCACTCCAGCCCGGGCGACAAAGTGAGATATCCCGTCTCAAAAAAAAAAAAAAAATAGAATTTGATCTGGACTAGTGCAGAATAATTGTGGATTCGATTCTGCCAGTTCTTTGTATTGGTTGGCGTGCAGGTCCTGGGTGGGGAAGCCCTTTTGTTTAGGAGACAGCCTCATGACTTTTTTTGGTCGAGAAGGGCAAAGTCCCCTGGGAACAATCCGAAGAAAAAGGATTGGGGCAGGATGGCGGCCGTGGAAGTTGAAATCCACTAAGGAGTATGTCACAACTCACCTGCCAAAAAAAAGAAAAAGAAAACAATTGTAGGCCAGGCGCAGTGGTTCACACCTGTAATCCCAGAACTTTGGGAGGCCGAGGCGGGTGGATCACTTGAGGTCAGGAGTTTGAGACCAGCCTGGCCAACATGGTGAAACCCCGTCTCTACTAAAAATACAAAAATTAGCTGAGCGTGGTAACACGCCTGTAATCCCAGCTACTCAGGAGGCTGAGGCAGGAGAATTGCTTGAACCCAGGAGGTGGAGGTGTGGTGAGCTGAGATCGTACCACTGCACTCTAGCCTGGGTGACAGAGCAAAACTCCATGTAAAAGAAAAAAAGAAAACAATTGGGCCATAAGAGGTCAATTGCTCTGTATGATAACTCAGTAGAAAACTAGAAGTTTGGGATGACAGTCGTTGCAGGGAAATGGGATGAGGGACCCTAGGAACTGAAAGCAGAAATGGAGGGGAAGGTGTTTACAGATAGAGAGCACAGACCAACCTCCGCAGCGTGGTAGCCACAGAGCTGAGGCAGAGATGGCTCCTGTCAGTCCAGCTTTCCTGTTCTGGGTCTACCATAATCCTCCTGTATTTCTTTCCAACCTTCAGTAAAAGTCTGTGAGGAGGAAGAAGTGAAGAAAATATTAAGAAAAGAGAATGAGCCAATAGCTATTATCTTAGCTATTTGGGAGGCTGAGGCAGAAGGATTGCTGGAGCCCATGAGTTCAAGGCTGCAGTGTGCCATGACTGTGCCTGTGAATGGCCACTGCACTATAGCCTGAATGATGTAGCGAGACCCCATCTCTTTATTATTTAAAAATTAAAAAAAAAAAAAATTTTTTTTGGCCAGGGCGCGGTGGCTCATGCCTGTAATCCCAGCACTTTGGGAGGCTGAGGCAGGCGGATCACGAGGTCAGGAGATGGAGACCATCCTGGCTAACACG